AGAGAGGTGGATTTAAGGAATCCAGAGTTTAGGATGGAGATGTGATTTGCAAATAAAATGGTATTGAAAGAAGCTGTAGAGGAGTATGCAATTATACGTGGTAAGTTGATAAAATTCAGAAAAAATGACAAAAGGAGGCTCTAAGAAGTATGTATGGGAGGACTGAAATGTCCATTTTATTTATATGCTTCAAAGATTGATAAGAGTGAATCTACATTTGTAATCAAAACTATGAGCCTAGAACACACTTGTGGGAGGGCCAAGAAGTTGAAGTATGCCTCATCCAAGTGACTATTTAACAAATATTCTAAGAAGCTCAAGAGAGACACAGACTTGGATGTGAAATCATTACAAGAGGATGTGTTGGAGGATTATTGCATGAATGTCACAAGACATCAAGTATACAGGGCCAAGAAGTTGGCCAAAGTAATGATTGAAGGGAGTTACATAGAACAATATGCTAGGTTATGGGATTATGCAGAGGAATTGAAGAAGGCAAACAAGGGTAGTACAGTTTTAATTAAAACTAAACAAATGGGGGGCCAAGCTATCTTTCAAAGGATGTATGTTTGCTTGGCTGGTTGTAGGCAAGGTTACTTAGATGGATGCAGACCAGTTATTGGTGTTGATGGGTGCCACCTAAAATGTCCTTATCCTGGGCAGATTTTGACAACAATTGGGGTGGATGGAAATAATGGCACTTTCCCAATTACTTATGTAGTTGTTGAGATCAAGAGCAAAGAATCATGGATCTGGTTTCTTAGGCTGTTGATTGAAGATCTAAAGATTACAAATGGTTTGTCATATGTGTTCATTAGGGACAAGAAAAAAGGACTCATTCCTACAATTGATATTGTACTTCCAACTGTAGAGCACATGATGTGTGTTAAACACTTATATAACAACTTTGATCATCACACTCTGGTCTTACTCTAAAACACATATTGTGGGCTGCAGCAAGAGCCACAACTATGCCTTGGTGGGAAGCAGAAATGGATAATATGAAACAAGAGGATGAAGAAGCGTGGAAATGGCTCATTAAGATAACTTGCAAAGAATTAGAGCATATCTCACTTTCATACACGATTTAAGTGTGATCTTTTGTTGAACAATCTTTGTGAAAGTTTCAATGCAGAATTATAGATGCAAGAGATCCGTCCATTTTGACTTGTTTAGAGAGGATAAAAGTCCTTGTGATGCTTAGGATGGCAAATAGAAGTGCTGCATATCAAAAATGGAAACACCCTATTGGGCCAAGAATCTTCAAGATAATTGAGAAGAACAAGTTAGATGTCTCCACATGCATTCCTCGACTAGCTGGCTTGCAAAAATATCAAGTGACCTACTTGTATGGTGGAGAATTTGTTTTGGATCTTAGGGCAAGGACATGTTCTTGTAGGAGGTGGGATTTATGTGGGATACCTTGTGGGCATGCAATTTATGCAATTTTTCAAAGGGATGAAACCCCCATTGATTATATGGATCAATGTTACAAGTTAGAGACTTATATGAAATCATATGAACCAATGATTCACCCTATCCCTTCAATGGATCAATGGGCTAAATCTGGGCATCCTCCAATCCATCCTCCAAGTGTTAGGGTACAACGATGAAGGCTAAAAAAAAAAGGACCAAGGTGTAAGAGTATCTATGACGATGATATTGCCAAGTGTCAACAGATCAATGAGTAAGCTCTTAGAATGTGGTTAGCGTTGTTAGCAAAGTGAGTAGCTAGCTAAGACTGTAGTTAAGGCTAATATAAAGATTGTAATGTGCTTAGTTAGAGCTTAACAAAATACAAAAACTATAATTCCTTCTCTGAAATTCTCTCTGCTTCTACAATCTTCTTTACTCTGTTCTTCAGTTTCTCTTCATCTTAACATGGTACAAGAGCCATAGATCGATCTGAGTTCTTATGCTTCCGCTTTCTATGCCTTGACATTATTTTCTGGAACTCCATGGAAATTGACGTAGATATCTGATTCTTCCACTTCATTCTTGGATTCTAAATTTTGTCAAAACTGCCTTTAGGGTTTCTATTCAGCTTGCTATTGGGGATATTCAGTCTCATCTTTGATTCGAGTGTTTCTCAATTACGTTTTGTTGCTGATTTTTGGGAATTTTCAATGTTCTTGATCGATTGCTACTCACTTTTGGGGTTTTTCTATGAGATTGCTGATTTCAAGCCTTTGAATTGGAGATTTCCAAATCCATATATGTTTCGCATAATTCTCCATTGATTTGCAAGTTCAAAGACCCATCGACTGGGATTTGTTGCTGTTCTGGTGGCATTCGATGTTTTTGGTGGATTGTTGCTCACATTAGGGTTTTTTGATTGGGATTTGTTGTTGTTTTCTGTATGATTACTACTCAAATTGTGGTTCAGATTGCTTCAACTCATTGACTTCAATTCCATGTCTGCATATGGAGGTTATATTTCCTCCACTATGATATGTGGTGGATTTCAGATTGTTAGTTGCATTTTTGCTATTTGGGTCTTATAGATGTTCTTATGGTATCTCTGTTGTTCATCCTCTATCTCTTCCTATGTTCATAGATTTTCTATTCACCTTTGATTGATAGTTATTGTAGCTGCGCCCAAATCAAATATTGAATTCCTTGTTAATAAAATCACCTTACCTCACCATGGGTCAAATATTGATGGTTCATTTGTTATTTGCTGTGTCAATTTTCTTATGCATCCAAAATCTCAGTACCCCTATTCTTGACTCTTAAATCCCACTTCTTTGGAGAACGAGAAAATCTTGAATCAAACAATTCTGTCCCAATTCTCTTCTCAATCTTCTTATCTCAGGGAACAAAGAATTTCCCATTTCTCATTCTCTTCTATCCCTTTTCTCCAATCTCTAAGGAAATAAAAGAATTTCCCAATTCTTCCTCTTTTCTCTCTCCTTTCTACAATCTCAATAAGGGAACAAACGAATTCCCAATTCTTCCTCTTTTCTATCTCCTTTCTACAATCTCTACAGGAACAAAAGAATTTCTCCATTCTTCTTTCCTTCTATGTCTTTCTAGATGTGGGGGTCTAATTACATAATTGATTTGGATTGCTTCTTAAGGATGCAGTTATTTGGCAAATTTGGGATACTTGATGGTTCATACAGTGAATCCGTTGGTAAATCTCATGGGCACACAGTTGGTAATTTGTGGTCCACAACAATCATTTCTAGCCCACGACTGTAATTACTCAGGCTATCTTCTTCAATCTCATCTTCAGGGTTTTCTTGGATTGCATCTCACTTCCTTTCTTGGTCCAAATGTGGTGACTACCTTCTCAATGAGTGATTCCTCACTCTTCTATTGCATCACTGGTTCTTATGGTTTCTAATGTCCATGTCAAATTGGATGATACTAATTACTTGCAATGGCACTTCCAAATGAACTTGATGCTAGAATGTCATGACATACTTGGTTTTGTGACTGGTTCCCATCCATGTCCACCTCAGTTTGTTGTTGGTTCTAATTATGAGGAAATTGAAGCATATAAGGTTTGGCAATGATGTGCAGAATTGCCAAACAAAACATCATTTCTTTAAATGGCTGGATAATGAAACATGTCCAAGAGGAAAGGAAGTGCTTCCTGGATTGCTTAGAAGACTTAGAGGTATGGAGGAAGAAATTAGAGCAAGAGATGTGCAAGTGAGGTTAGTGGAAGAAGAGAAGAAAAAATTGGAAGAGAAAGTGGGTGTTGTTCTTGAAGGAAAAAAGGAATTGGAATGGAGTAGATTGAGACAATTGAAACTAGGGTTTTCTTTGATCCTTTCATGGTGTTTGTTTGTAATTGTGGTGATGAGTAGGAAGATTTAGCTATGAATGTTAGGTCTGTAATGGCATTTTAGGTTTGTAATGGGATTTTAGTTATGAATGTAACGTGGTGTTTGTTAGAATGTAATGTGGTGTATTTTAGGTATAACCCAAAACCAATTCCATAACCAAAATTCAATTCCATAAACAAAAACCAATTCCATAACCCAATTGCATAGCCTAAACCAATTCCATTACCAAAATGCAAAGTTTAAATCTAATCCACAAGGTGTGATTCCACAAAATAACATCCCAAATTACAGAACCTAAACCAAAAGACAAAGTTTAACTCTAATCAACAAGGTGTGATTCCACAAAATAACATCCCAAATTACAAAATCTAAACCAAAAGACAGAGTAGGTGTACTCTAAGCCAAATGCAGAGTCTTTACATAACCAAAATGCATATCCTGAACAAAATCCACATCCCAAATTACATAAAATATATATGATTCCCCCAGCCTTGTGAATGATTATGGTTGTGATAGAACTTGTGTAGGCCTTTTGAATGTTCTTCCTCTAATAGCAACCATTTTGAATGTGCCCCCTCTATTAGATGGAATTTGAATCTAGAACCAGATTTGGCAGTGACACAAGTTGAAGATGGATTTGAGCTCTCTTGTCTAGGTGCAGCTGACTGTGACAATGGTATATTTGCCATTCCTCTTCCCAAACCTCTTCCCATACCTCTTACCATACTTCTTGGCAAACCTCTTCCCATACCTCCTGCCACATAAACAAAGAGGAATAATATAAGTTCGCAACTATATTGCAACCTATAACTAGGAGGTCAGCATCAGGTTACTGTATTTTTCTTGGAGTCTCAGTTATCTCATGGAAGACGAAGAAACAAAAAATTCTCCCCCTTGGTTTTGCTAAGGCTGAATATAAGTCCATGGATGCTACTACTTGTGAATTAACTTAGCTGCGATACCTTCTCAAAGACTTACAAGTTACCAATCTTGGACTCGCAAAACTATTTTCACTACTACAATTATGTTAAACAACGACACCCAAAAGACGACAGTTTGTATAAAAACTGTCGTGATGTTTTGAAAAACGACGTATGTTATAAAACCGTCGTTGTAAAGTACCTAATACACCCATACATTGGGTTGATTTTAAAAAGACGACTGTACCTTATTAGAACTGTCGTGTTTTTAAGAGGCGCTAAACAAATATTCACTTAAGTTCATGGGCGCGGAGCTTTTGGGAAAACCCTCGCTCTCTCTCTAACACTTTACTCTCACGAACCTCTCTCTCTCTCTCTCTCAACTCGCTCTTACGTTTAGGGTTTATGAAGCACCATCTCCCTCGCGCCGTCCAGGGCACAGAACTCATCGAGATCACCATCTCCGTCACGCCGTTCAGGTCACGGAGGTCACCATCTCCCTCACGCTCTCCATGTCACCAAGCTCTTTGAGCTTGCCATCTCCCTCGTGTTACTTCTGTTTCCAAATTCGTGTCTTAGAGTTCTGTCGCAGGTTTCATTGAACATCTTCAAGGTTAGTCTCCTCACCCCCCCAACTCTCTCTCTCATGTTCTCTGATTCCCAATTCCATATAGAGAAAAAGGTATTCTAGAGTAAGGGTTTCGATTTATTTGGGCTGTGGAAATTTGTTTTGGGCCAAACGATCTTGATTTGATGTTGTGTGGTGAAGGATTTGAAAGGATTGGCGGCGTAGTAGCCAGAGTTGGTCTATACAAAGACGACATCGAATTAGTTGCTACCCAGAGTTGGAAGGATTATGCAAAACTAATATTTTTGAGGGTCTCTGCGTTTGGTTTTTTGTAAGTTTTTAGTATTTCTTTATTGCTTCCAATCTAATATTTTTCACATACATTATCTTAGTTTCTCTCTTATTTATTTATCTATTATTTCTATATAGATGTTCATCCTACTCTGTTTTCCAGAAATTGGGGTTAAATTTGAATTATGGCTGCAATAGAAGAAAAAGACTAGGTCTAACTGTCAAATACGAGTGCCTTCAATATTAGTCAGTTTCAGTTTCAACCTCCATACCATATTTGTATAACCAATCTATGGTTTAATAGATTTGATTTCTCTGATATTTATTTCCTTGAAAAGTTCATTATATTTTGATATATTTCTGAAAGGTTTGGGAATTTAATTTATCAAGTTAAGATGTTGATCGTCTCCAAACAAGAGGATAGAAATGGATGTCATGAAGTTGTAAGTTGTTGGTTACTGTATTATCTCCAACCTTTGTAATCTGGGTCTTATGTTTCTTAAGACTAGATTCCTCCCTTTTGGTATACCAAAGTAGTCTTGTTGGTACAAGTACTTAAATCATGTTGCTGCCTTCCTCTCTTGTACAATATAAAGCTATGTTTAATATATTTTTCAATGTTTTTAAGGATGATGAGTGACTATAATGTGGAGACAATAAATGGAAAGTTTTTCATCTTTCTTTGTCTTTTGGTAGACATTAATTGAGTTTGCTCTTAGATGAATGCGTTTTGGAAACTAATGTTTCCTTTTTCTCCACTAGTCTTTTAGTGGCTGAGGCTCTAATGCCTATTAGCTTTCGTTTAGACATTGTTTAAAACACGTTTTGGTATAATATACTCTATGTGATGCGGTGGTTGCAGGTCTTTATGAAGGCGGGGTTTGGAAAATCTGAGTTGAGCTTCCCGTCCCGATGCATATCTATATAAATCTCCTTCTATTGGCTTCATGATCAAGATTTTCCACCCAAATGTGTTGATAAGCTGTGAGTATTTTGCAGTTTAAAAAGCAAAATCACCTCTCATTACATCTGAGTAGAATTATCTTCTCTAGGATATTTTGAGTTCTAATTGTTACTAGTATCCGGCACATTGGGTCAAATAAAGGCACAAGTATTAAGTTTACTTAGAATGGTGTAATATACTGTTGATGATTATCAAATACTTTGAATAAGTTTGTGGAATTGATGACGTACTTTCTTTCCTATTTTTTTAGTAGGGAGTTTCACTAAAATACCCAAAATGGGGACTGAAATTATAAAAATACCCAACACCCAAAACACTTTATAAACATACCCAAAACTCATCATTACACACACTCAAAACCCATTTATAAACATACCCAAAACCCATCATTACACACATACCCAAAATCCATTTTGGGTATGTTTCTATGTTTTAATAGTGCTTGGGTATTTTTATAAATACATGTCTAGGATTGGGTATTTTTATAAATATCTATTTTTAGTAAGCAGCTAGAACTTGCGTAATTGGTTATTTGTTTTTAATTTTCTATGACCTGACTGATTTGTCTTTCCCGAGTAATTGCAGATCTGGTTCTGTCTACTTAGATGTAATTAACCAATCATGGAGTCCAATGTTCGGTAATTACAAGTGTGTACTGTATGCTTTAACGCTGTAGTGTTGGTTATAAATGTTTATAAATCATAATGTGGAATTGGAGATGAGACTAGTGCTTAATTGAGGTTTAATTTCTTATTTCTACCTACATCATTGACTTGAGATCTCTCCTCCTTTTATTATCGAATTTCTATCTGCTTTGCAAGATGAATACTTTACTGAAGCTACAATTGCTAAATATTTTGTAGAGAACATCATCACTCTCTAGTTCCCAACATTCGATTTGATGAATTCTCTTTAAACTTTAATTATATATATCAATCTCATTACTGAAAATTAATTGTATCAGTGGTACACTACTTGAGATCAAATGTTCAAAGGATAATCAAAATTCAGGGGTTCATTGGACCATCACATCTTTGGAGAAGGTTAGACAATTTGGTCATTTAGAACTTGTTTTTATCTACATTGATAGCATAGTGATTAGAATGAAATATATTTGGATCAGATTTGTATTTGTGGAGTTTGATGTTAATTTTGCAAGTCTCGTAGGACCTGCTGTTGCTGATATTGTTACAAGGGAGGGGAAATACAACTTGGAAAATGTGCAAGAAGGCAGAGCTAAGTCAACCCAAGAACAAATTGATGAATTTCAGATCAAATTAGTAGAATTTGTGAGCTCCTTTATTTCTAATTATAGGTAGGAAGTATGAATGTAATAGAATAAAGATTGGTTGACTATGTAATAACTATTGAATCTTCAAGTTTTATGAAAGAAATAATTTTTAAGTGTATATATTCGTTAATAAAGCATTATAATTGGTTTTCTAGTTAAAAGTGTTGTATAGAATTATAAGAAACAAAAAACTATAATGTAACAGCTTGGGAACTTATTGAAAAATCGCTGTCTGTACATATAATCAATGACTTTTTTAACACTATGTCGTCTTCTTTATATACAATTAACGACGATTTTTAACAAAATACCGACGTCTTTACAAATAAGTGACAACGGTTTTTAACGAAATATCGACGTCTTTACCAATAAATGACGACAGTTTTAACAAGATACCGTCATCTTTACCCATAAATGACGACGGTTTTTTTAAACCGTCGTCTTTACCCATAAATAACGACGGTTTTTGTTATAAACCGTCGTCTTTTCCCATAAACGACGGTTTTTAACAAAAAAAACTATTGTTTTTACATAAGAACAACGACAGTGTAAAACCGTCGTCTTTTCGTATAATAGACGACGGGGATTTACCGTCGTGGTTTTATGCATCAAAAGATGTCGGTCGATTTCACGACGGTTGAAAAACCCGAAACACGACGGTGGATTACCGTCGTCTATTCCGATTTTTGTAGTTGTGTTTGTGATAATTAAGTTGCTTTATACATTGCAGCTAATCCAGTATATCATAAGCTTACAAAGCATATTGAAATTGATTGTTATGTGATAAAAAAAAAGATTCAAGATGTTGAAATTGTTACATCATTTGTTCCTTCATCCTCACAGGTTTGTTGACTTGCTCCCCAAAGCATTGGGCAATGTTGCATTTCCTAATTTCATGCGCAAGTTGGGCATTATACACTACTACAAAAATTGAAATAGACGACGGGGAAACGCCGTCGTCTTTTTCTTTTTCAAATCGTCGTTAAATCGACAGTCGTCTTTTTGAAAGTCAAACTACGACGGTATTTCACCGTATCTATTATATGTAAAAACGACGGTTTTTAAAAGAACCGTCGTCTATTACATGTAAAGACGACACTTTTTCTGAAAAAACCGTCGTCTATTTAAATGTAAAGACGACACTTTTTCTGAAAAAACCGTCGTCTATTTAAATGTAAAGACGACACTTTTTCTGAAAAAACCGTCGTCTATTTAAATGTAAAGACGACACTTTTTCTGAAAAAACCGTCGTCTATTTAAATGTAAAGACGACACTTTTTCTGAAAAAACCGTCGTCTATTTAAATGTAAAGACGACACTTTTTCTGAAAAAACCGTCGTCTATTTAAATGTAAAGACGACACTTTTTCTGAAAAAACCGTCGTCTATTTAAATGTAAAGACGACACTTTTTCTGAAAAAACCGTCGTCTATTTAAATGTAAAGACGACACTTTTTCTGAAAAAACCGTCGTCTATTTAAATGTAAAGACGACACTTTTTCTGAAAAAACCGTCGTCTATTTAAATGTAAAGACGACACTTTTTCTGAAAAAACCGTCGTCTATTTAAATGTAAAGACGACACTTTTTCTGAAAAAACCGTCGTCTATTTAAATGTAAAGACGACACTTTTTCTGAAAAAACCGTCGTCTATTTAAATGTAAAGACGACACTTTTTCTGAAAAAACCGTCGTCTATTTAAATGTAAAGACGACACTTTTTCTGAAAAAACCGTCGTCTATTTAAATGTAAAGATGACACTTTTTCTGAAAAAACCGTCGTTTATTATATCCAAAGGCGTCTATTAAATCTAAAAAAGACGTTTTTGTTCCAAAAAATCACCGTTTATTATATGTAAAAATGATGTACTAATTTCATTTTAGATATCCTAAAAAATTATTTCTTTCATAAAACTTGAAGATTCAATTGTAATTACATTGTTTACCAATCTTGATTCCTACTATATCCATACAAAATACCATATTTATAACATTATAACCTATAATTACAAAATACCATATCCAAAGCATTAACCTATGGTTGTTGTATCTTCCACAATTTGTACTTGTTCTCCACATTCAGCTGTCATCTTGGAGTAGTGTTCTAAGTCATCTTGGTCAAATGGATCTTATATTCTTCTAAGTTGTCATCTTGGCCTTCGAGCTACACTTGATATAAGCTGCATCACCTATTTGCCATGTCATCTTACCTGAGCAATCAAAAACCACAATAAGATTACATTATCTTGCTGTCATTTTAACTAACAAAAAATATGCATAAGCTTATGCAAGAAAAGTTCATTTGTAACACAATACAGAAGAACATTTTGACTAACTTAGAGTTGCTTCTGTGACGTGAATGGCGAGAGCTCACCAAGAAGGCGTGATGGAGATCTGTCATCGAACCTCAGGCAACATCGAAGACTAGATCTGATGTTCTAGGATTTTCACATCTCGCAAGGTCTCTAGATATGTTTTCAAGGACATCGTCGTCGTTGACTGTGAATATGGCGTCGATGGCGGCTAGTGATGACTGATGCGAAGAACGATGGCGTTGATGGCGTCGCTTTTTTGATGGCTGGTAGGTACGTTTGAGGAGTAGAAAGGTGAGAGATGGAGTGTTTCAGATAGCTCAGGAGGGTTTCAAGAAGAGAGGAGCTCAAGAGGTTTCAAGGAGGGAGAGATAAAGTTTTCAGAGACGGGGGAAAATCTGAAAATTTGTCAAGCGCGAATTCACTTAAGTGGCCTTTTTTTAGCGTGTTTTAAAAGACGACGCTTGTTAATGAGAGATAAGGTTTTCAAAGACGGGGGAAAATTTGAAAATTTGTCGAGCGCGAATTCACTTAAGCGGCCTTTTTTTAGCGTGTTTTAAAAGACGACGCTTGTTAATGAGAGATAAGGTTTTCAAAGACGGGGGAAAATTTGAAAATTTGTCGAGCGCGAATTCACTTAAGCGGCCTTTTTTTAGCGTGTTTTAAAAGACGACGCTTGTTAATGAGAGATAAGGTTTTCAAAGACGGGGGAAAATTTGAAAATTTGTCGAGCGCGAATTCACTTAAGCGGCCTTTTTTTAGCGTGTTTTAAAAGACGACGCTTGTTAATGAGAGATAAGGTTTTCAAAGACGGGGGAAAATTTGAAAATTTGTCGAGCGCGATTTACTTATAATAGACGACCCTTTTTATAAAAAACCGTCGTCTTTACTTATAATAGACGACCCTTTTTATAAAAAACCGTCATCTTTACATGATAATAGACGACC